TAAATTCTGCATTTTCTGAATCGTTATTTTCCTCTTTTCTGTATTGTGCTACAGCCTCCATGATGATATTTTTTTTATTAAGTTTACATATTTCGGATCTCCAAGTACACTGTTGTTGAATTTCTATGTACCGCGCCCGCGCTGCTTTTAAATAAATTCTAAACCAATAGTAACGGGCAAGTCGTCCGATTTGTAAACATATTGAACATCTGTTGTAGGAATATTGTTCTGTGGATCAGAGGATACTAAAAAATAATGAAGGCGACTTTTTCACATTAGGTCCGAATCACGTGTATTTTCAATCATCTAAATATCCTCCAAACATCCAATAGATCTAAATTCTGTATCATGTTATGAATTTCCATATTCGCTCTAGTATTTTTACGATAACTAACAACGTCTACTTCATATTCAAGCATGACGTTCCAGTCATCCGCAATCATGATAGTGTCATTTCGAATAGCTTCTATTATATCTTGTAGATAAGGAAAAAACGCCGGCATATCATTTTTTGGACCGTATAATCCTAAAAGGGTTTGTTTAGTAATATTCTATAAAATCTTCCCGTCTGGATCATTGTATTCACCATTCACGCTGTATTCACACCCTTCCCCATTCACCCATCCAAGTATATCGTCTTATCATAGGTTTTGATGAAGCCATTGATGTTTTCTGCTATGGTAAAGTACGTATTTCGACTGACGGGTTAGTTTTGACGACGTCATTGATGTATTTAGCTATAGTAAAGTACGTATTTCGACTGACGGGTTAGTTTTGACGACGTCGTTGATGTATTTAGCTGTAGTAAAGTATGTAATTCGACTGACGGGTTGGTTTTGACGACGTCGTTGATGTTTTTAGCTATAGTAAAATACATCATTCGACGGACGGGTTGGTTTTGACGACGTCGTTGATGTTTTTAGCTATAGTAAAGTATGTAATTCGACTGACGGGTTGGTTTTGACGACGTTGTTGATGTTTTTAGCTATAGTAAAATACATCATTCGACTGACGGGTTGGTTTTGACGACGTCGTTGATGTTTTTAGCTATAGTAAAATACATCATTCGGCTGACGGGTTGGTTTTGACGACGTCGTTGATGTTTGTAGCTATAGTAAAATACATAATTCGACTGACGGGTTGGTTTTGACGACGTCATTGGTGTTTTAGCTATAGTAAAGTATGTAATTCGACTGGCGGGTTGGTTTTGACGACGTCATTGATGCTTTTAACTATAGTAAAGTACCTATTTCGACTGACGGGTTGGTTTTGACAACATCATCGATGTTTCAGCTATGGTAGATCACGTATATCGACTGACGGTTCGATATTAATGACGTCATTAAGTTTTCGACTGCAGCGTGTATGCATCCTTTTTTTACAGCAGCATATGACTTAAATGGGTGTATTTTGGCATGTATTATTGTCATTCTGCATGCATAAATATAATTTTCATTGTATTATTATTATTACTTTTTTTTTACAAATTGGTACTCTTTTACTGACAAAAAGCATGAAATTATTACATTAGTGTAAGACAGTTTCATAAGCGTGTATGAAGGAAAGGGATATTCCATCGGAGGGCTAGAAAAATGGTTTTGCTACATTTTGTGATCCCGAGGGTGGGGTATCCCTATCCCTCATACACACTTTGATGAGAAAGTCTTATTCTGTCATATCAACTCCGTATTATTGATTTTTATTCAAAGCAAACTTGATATTCATAAAGATCATACTCATATTTGGCAGGTTAAGAGTTTGCCAGAAAAGTCTAAAAAAAACCTTTTCCGTGAAGATGTTACTGAAGGATAATGAAAAGAAGATTAAGCATCGTCCATGTATGAACTATGGTTCTGAAAACGATGGTCTCCTTGTATTGTCATTCAAGCTACGGTAAAACAGCATGTCGAATATATTCAGGGATATCTATTGATGCGGAGCAAGACCACTTCATGGATTCTGACCTGAGAAATATGATGATAATTGACAATGTCATGCTAACCGCATCAACCAACTATTTACGGAGAGTAGCCATCACAGGGACCTGCCAGTTATTGCAATCAATCCAAAACTATCTACTACAAGACCCCAGACAGAGAAGAAATTGCCAATATCTGGTCATATTTGATATTTCGATAAGCAACAAATCATGACACTGACGCGACAGATGGATACAGAAATACATTGGTTCCGATATTTCCAACGACATGTCACAAGACAACATTCATATAACTTTGATTTTATGCACTCAATGACATCGTTACATTCCCATTCCCTATGGGTTGAGACGGGAATTGAATATTTTAATTAACACTAACCCACGGCATGTAAAACTCGTTTGGTGTAAGGATCTTTTAACAGACTATTGACATACCTATGGGAACTGATAGTACTCCTCTGCTGGCTCGGTTTGGTTGTCCTACGAGGCTGAATTTATCGAAGACTTACCAGAACTGAAAACCATGGACACGACAGACTCTTCTACATCAGGCGCTTCTCTTGACAGTTAATAGCAACTTTAAAAATAGAGCCAAACAATGAATTAAACTGCATCATACTGCAGTTTCAACCTTGTAAGACTCGTCAGCGATGATCAGGGCCTAAATTTTAAATCAAAGAGGCGAGTGAAGGAAACTAAAAACAGAAAATTTACAATCGTCATAGTGCTCTCGTCGAGAAATATTTGTTTCTTTGTGCGATATGAAGCTGAACGTGTTTGATAATCGTTAGTTTGCCCGTTGATGCCGTTTTGTGACATGAAGCTGGACGTGTTTGATGCTGGTTAGTTTGCCCGTTGGTCCTGTTGTTCTCATTTGTGACTAAGACATTACTTTAATTGAGCGAAATTTACATGGCGGGTGTCGTCGATGAAGCATATGACACTTACTCCTCCGGAACACCTGGCCTTATTCTCCTTGTTCTTTTTCAGAAGCCTAGTCTTCCGGAACACCTGGCCTTATTCTCCTTGTTCTTTTTCAGAAGCCTAGTCTTCCGGAACACCTGGCCTTATTCTCCTTGTTCTTTTTCAGAAGCCTAGTCTTCCGGAACACCTGGCTTTATTCTCCTTGTTCTTTTTCAGAAGCCTAGTCTTCCGGAAGACCTGGCCTTATTCTCCTTGTTCTTTTTAGAAGCCAAGTCTTTCGGAACACCTGGCTTTATTCTCCTTGTTCTTTTTCAGAAGCCTAGTCCTCCGGAACACCTGGCTTTATTCTCCTTGTACTTTTTCAGAAGCCTAGTCTTCCGGAACACCTGGCATTATTCTTGTACTTTTTCAGAAGCCTAGTCCTCCGGAATACATGGCTTTATTCTCCTTGTACTTTTTCAGAAGTCTAGTCCTCCGGAACACCTGGCTTTATTCTCCTTGTACTTTTTCAGAAGCCTAGTCTTCCGGAACACCTGGCATTATTTTCCTTGTACTTTTTCAGAAGTCTAGTCCTCCGGAACACCTGGCATTATTCTCCTTGTACTTTTTCAGAAGATTAGTCCTTCGGAACACCTGGCTTTATTCTCCTAGTACTTTTTCAGAAGTTTAGTCCTCCGGAACACCTGGCCTTATTCTCCTTGTATTTTTTCAAAAGTCTCAGTGTAAACTTTCTTTTGTTCATATTTCCCCCTAGTGTTAATGAATTTTAATTATGATCATGTTGGAATGTTATTTTCTTGTTTTCTGTTCCAATATGGTCTAAAGCATCCTTTGGTGAAGTGGAATCAATATTTTGAATATACGATGGGTTTCGTACCTTTTCAACCTATGGACAGGATCAAAAAGCGGAAATATTGAAAATAAACTTTAAAGGAAAAGTAGCTTCCAAGTGTCATGAAAATGAAATTATGACATTGAGGATAGTAAGCTAGTGTCATAACATACATCCATCAAAACTGTCATACTATTCTAATAAATATTACAAAGTTATTTCTAGTGGAAAATAAAGGTTATACTCAAAAATGCACCTTTTCTATAAAAAATTATAGTAAAGTTAACCTCTTTTCAAGGAAGAAATGTGAGAGCCATTTTTTTGGTAATTAAGATGTTCTGTGAAGAGCATTTGATACTACTATATCTGGGTGTTGAGAAGAGAGTCAATTTGGCTGTTTCTTCTGGCCCCACCAATCAGCCCCTTGGGGTTGACTAGGTTCATTATGGGTATACCATCCTTCTTTGCTTATAATTCTAATAAAGTTTGAAATATTTCCAATGATGATAAAACAAATTATACTCAAAATCTATTTTTGCTATATAAACTTTAGTAAACATTACCCCCTCACAACAGGACAGCAAGACCCTGGGGCCATGGAATTTACAATTTTAGTAAAGCACCTTTCCATTCATGATAAGTATTTGATTCTCCCACACCTGGGATTTGTGTAGATATTTGAAATTTCAGTCAATTTGACCCATTTTTGACCCCATCCAACAACCCTGGGTGTTGGCGACCGTTTCAGTGAAACTGAAGCCATGGAAAGCGTTTTGTAAAATTTCATTGAAATCAGTTCAGGAGTTTTCCAGAAGAATTCGTAAAATGTTAAAAGTTTATGATGCATGAAGCACAACCCACTACGTCAGACAAAATGGGATCGCAATGGGTCACTCTGAGCCTTTGTCTCAGGTGACCTAAGAAACTTCAATCCTTCTTCTGTAGGGATACCTTGATACTGTCCCAATTTGGTCTGAAACATCCTTGAATGAAGATGACTCTATCGGTAAACTTAGTCTTTTGATTATCCAGAAGTCTTCTGAAGATTTTTAACACATAATCCTTATAACATTCAAAGGTGGGTTAAGATAAATTATTTTAACAAACTTGGTAGCTCTTCATCTCAGAATGCTACACAACCAAAATCAGTGCCAAAGATTTTTTTGTTATTGAAAAAAAGTTGTTGAAGGGAAAAGTAGATACCAGATGAAAGCTGCATTATAGCAGTGAATAGTATTTTAAATCTCATTTTTCATCATCATTTATCGAGCTGTTAAGAAAACAGTTGATAAAACAACACCAAAATGTTTTTCTCAGTACTTTTTATGAAATAATTTTTTCCTCTCCTATCTCATCAATGAATACATGCTCTTTTTTTAACAATTATCACAAATATTACAACAAAACAGAGTATCTTACAGAGTGTTGTATTGTATTACACAATCTGAAATATCAAATGCCATGCTTGTCAGCTAACTAAACAAGTCAGTCAGTATAAACTAGGACAATCCAGTGCCCATTCAAAAATGAGAAGAATGGCCACACTGCTGAAATAAGCATTAGTCTATCACATACAGAACACTGAGTGACATAAAATTAGGCTCTACTTCAGCTTACAAACAAATTACAAACCTACATTGGTGAATGTATGACTACAGTGGATAAATGCATGAATGTCAGATATGAGAAGGATGAATTTATGAACATAGAAGTTTATCTTGTAGCTACTCAAAGCATCAATGTAACACTGACAATTTTAAATGAATGGATAATCTTCATGTTCCCCCGACTCAGTCAACAAGTGTATACCTAACAAACACCTCAGAGGATGTCTATTATCAGTATAACAAATGCATCAGAGACTCAGTATTATCTGTATACGAAACAAACACCTCAGAGACTGGGTATTATCTGTACACCAAACAAACACCCCAGAGACTGTATATTATCTGTACACCAAACAAACACCTCAGAAACTGTGTATTATCTGTACACCAAACAAACACCTCGGAGGATGTGTATTATCAGTATAACAAATAAACCAGAGATTGGGTATTACCTGCATACCAAACAAACACCTCAGAGACTGGGTATTATCTGTACACCAAACAAACACCTCGGAGACTGGGTATTATCTGTACACCAAACAAACACCTCAGAGACTGGGTATTATCTGTACACCAAACAAACACCTCAGAGACTGGGTATTATCTGTACACCAAACAAACACCTCAGAGACTAAGTATTATCTGTATACGAAACAAACATCTCAGAGACTGGGTATTATCTGTACACCAAACAAACACCTCAGAGACTGTGTATTATCTGTATAGGAAACAAACACCTCGGAGGATGTGTATTATCAGTATAACAAACGCATCAGAGACTGGGTATTATCTGTATACGAAACAAACACCTCAGAGACTGTATTATCTGTACACCAAACAAACACCTCAGAGACTGGGAATTATCTGTACACCAAACAAACACCTCAAAGACTCAATATTATCTATATATCAAAAACAAATCCCTCAGAGACTGGGTATTATCTGTATACGAAACAAACACCTCAGAGACTCATTATTATCTATATACCAAACAAATCCCTCAGAGACTGGGTATTATCTATATACTAAACAAACACCTCAGACTGGGTATTATCTATATACTAAACAAACACCTCAGAGACTGGGTGTTATCTGTACGCCAAACAAACACCTCAGAGACAAGGTATTACCTGTTATACCAAACAAACTCCTTAAAGACTGGGTATTTTCAGTCAGTATACATATAAACGCCTCAGAGACTAGGTACTACAGGCCAGTATACCAGACACATGCCTTAGAAATTAGGTATTATCAGCCAGTATACCAGAAAAAAGCCCCAAGGAGTGTGTTATATACGTATACCATACAAATGCCTCTGAGTGTAGGTAATACAAGCCAGTATACCAGACAAACGCTGAAAGACTATATGTCATCAGCCAGAACACCAGACACACACGTCAATGAGTGTGTTATATCTGTATACCAACTAATGCCTCGATAAGTCTGTTATATCTGTATAGCAGACAAATGCCTCAGAGACCAGGTATCAACAGTTGTACAGCACTCCTCTCCTATATATATCACTGTTTTTGAGTCAAAAGCTATGACAGATCCTTTCTCATCATCGTCGATCACGGTGGCGATGTCTGTCTCTGTCTCGGCTACGATCACGGCTGCTACGACTTGGGTGGGAGGTTCGACGTAGGAAATCATCTACATCTCTTTCATACTGTTAAAAAAAAGCTTTAATGAATGCCCTGGTGAGAGCTGGGAAAAAATTGAAACTTCTACTACGCAATAACTGATTCAATTTGCTGACAACCTGAGCTGTCACAACAAACTAATATTAATAATGATATTAGACTCCAGGCCCAGAAGAGTCACACCTGTTCAATATAATGTGAAAATATCAATGAAATGACTTATGATTCAGTAGCAGCATTGTAATGCAGGCTACTTTTAGGTTCATCTCTTTAACAAACTCTTTTATTTGTATATTATACCAATTCTACTGTATTAAGTAAACCCAATCTAATATCCTAGAAGCATGTTCATGGGTTATCTACAGATCTGATTGATTTTTTCTGTTGTGTTGTCAACAGATAAATAGTAATTGGGTTCTCAAGATTCTTTTTTGTTGTGTTAGAAACTGTTATCTCTCTAGCATTTACAGATGAACTATAATAAATCATTTCTACAAAATATCAAAATTATTTAATTAGTAAAACCTTATGTTTCGTATTTAGCAAAATATGAATATCTGTTAGATCCAAAACCTTATTGTCATTAATCCCAAAAGCTATAGACAGATTACATGGCAGAAATACATGTTGTTTTTGATAAATATGTAAAGTAACCAGGTATAAACGGTATCAATATTATATCATTATATCTTATATGTTTGACAAGTTAGACATTTTTGGTCTGGCTACCTTGATTATTCATCTTCTTTTGGATCACTCATCCTTGTTAGAAATGTACATAAACCCTTTCTGTATCGTGATTCTGAGTCAGTATCCAGATACGTAGCAGCGAACACTCTCTGTACGTATCACACTTACACCGATAAACAAGAACACTTCATCCTCCTTTCATCATACAAACATCATACTTCAACACAGAGAAAAAGCTGAAGAAAGTACCAGTCTGAAAATGTAAACTTGCCAAAGTGGGACAACCAGGACAATGGACATGGTCACATTGTCCCCCAACCTGAAGGCAGCGAGGGTGTATAACATAAACCTACCGATCTTTTGTCTGTGACACGGGAACGTGATGTCACTGTTTCCTGGCTGCTGTAGTCTGGTCCAGATGGTATGAACTCTCTGGGTCGTTCATAATGGCCTGGATATGGAGGCATTGCTTCCATATGTCCAAATCCAGGGGGCTAAACACAAAATCAAATCAACATCACAAACCGTATACACACTATTAATGAAAACTAAAGACATGTGGAAGCAGAAAACTCCGAATATTAAACTTACTGGTGGGCCATATGGGTGATGCAATGGTGGTGGTGGTGCTCGAGCATGGGCAAACTCCCGGATATAGTCATTGTAAGACTGCAAGCAAAGGAAACAGACAGATATGAATTAACTCATATTCTAAGTTATTAATTTTCTTTATGTAGTAAGCTACAGGAAACACTCACTGATGTAAACTTAAACCAATAAAATCTTTGCAACTCTATAGGCCTGCATGCAGCTCTTTTGAGTACAATGAGAAATAAGAGGTCTATGGGGCACTCAAATGAATATTTCAGCTTTCATTATTAATATTTTCATTCAAAATTACAATGTTACCTTTTTGCCACAAGATAAGGAACTTTTGACAAAATGCCTTCATCCAAGCACAAAAAGATATGCTTGAGAAGCACTATGTCCCCAAAACCATTCATGATGGCTAGGACATTCAACTAAAACACAGTTTTGCAATATATCAAAGATGTTGCTAGTAAAATGTGGTATAAGATAGCATCTGCTACGGGACATATATACCCTATAAATTAAGGAATGCAAAATACAACAAGGACATAGTCACCAAGATCCCCCGCCAATGTTTATTTGTAAAATATATACATTTAAAGTCTGCAACATGGAGAATTGGAAAACAAATCAGGTCAAAGCAGCTTCATTATATATGCGCAGAATTCACTGATAATCAGACTTGAACAAAGTTAAGGTAACAAGTACGCCAAGCAAGTCTCATCATAAGATATCGGCCAATTAGGTCACATAAAATATGCATAGAATTTGCCAATAATTGAACCTGAACAAGGAATTCAGGTAACGAGTCTTCACAAAGCAAGTTTCCGAAAAAAAAGTCTTATCATTTCTTCATAAGAAAATGTGCAGAAAGATTTCCCATAGAGTGATTAAAGAAATCAGCCAATCAGCTGCAGCCTCATTAAATATTCACACAATTTGCAGTTAGTAAACTTGGCCAAGGGATAAAGGTAAAAAAGAGTACCAACCAAGTTTCATCAAAATCTTTCTAGTCCTTCAAAAGATATCAAGCAAAAAGCAGCATCCGGAAGGACGGACAAAGGAAACACATTTTAATATCATTTGACAACTTTGATGGGCGAGGGATAACTAAAAGCCTTTATTCATGGCCCCCAAACTAAGTCGGAGACTTCTTGTATTTACCTGGTTTCTTATCTTGTAGCCCTGGCAAATATTGACTGATATTGACCAATTTAAATATGAAGCGAGAGAATAATAAAAGTTATTTGATGGAAAACAAGAAATTATCTATTCTAAGGATTTTAGTCCCATGACTTTGGTGAATGTCCTCAGCATTAGACAAATATTGAACTTATCTGTGACGTTACTGGTATTAAGTCTAAAGACTGAGCTATTTGGGTCCCCAACATCTAAAGACTGACCTATCAGGGCCCCATTCTCTCCAAAGATCGAGCTATCGGGGCCCCATTCTCTCCAAAGATTAAGCTATCAGGGGCCCCAATGCTCAAAAGACTGAGTTATCAGGGTCCCCATGCTCACCAAAGACTGAGCTATCAGGGTCCCAATTCTCTCCAGAGACTGCGCTATCAGGGGCCCCAATGCTTTAAAGACTAAGCAATCAGGGAGCCCCATGCTCTCCAAAGATTGAGCTATCAGGGTCCCCAGTGCTCTAAAATCTGAATCATCAGGGTCCCTAATGTTCTAAAGACTGAGCTATAAGGGGGCCCTTTCTCTCCAATGATTGAGCTATCAGGGGCCCCATTCTCTCCAAAGATCGAGCTATCAGGGTTCCAAATGGTCTAAAGATTGAGCTATCGGGGCCCCATTCTCTCAAAAGATTGAGCTATCAGGGTTCCCAATGATCTAAAGATTGAGCTATCGGGGTTCCCAATGCTCTAAAGATTGAGCTATCAAGGTCCCCAATGCTCTAAAGACTGAGCTATCAGGGTCCCCAATGTTCTAAATATTGAACTATTAGGGTCCCAACTGATCTAAAGATTGAGCTATCATGGGCCCCAATGGTCTAAAGATTGAGCTTTCAGGTTTCCCAATGCTCTAAAGACTGAGCTATCAGTCCCCAATGCTCTAATGACTGATCTATCAGGGTCCCCATGCTCTCCAAAGATTGAGCTATCAGGGTTCCCAATGATCTAAAGATTGAGCTATCAGGGTCCCCAATGCTCTAAAGACTGAGCTATCACGGTCCCCATTCTCTCCAAAGACTGAGCTAACAGGGTCCACAATGCTTCAAACACTGAGCTACCCAACCCTCCAACTGGTTGAGTATGTTTTTCCAGTGTTGAGATTTTGGTCTAGATTTTAACATTTCAGATTGGTTATCATAATCAGTTGGTTGAATAATAAACTGCTGTATTTCTCATCATTCTTTCCTTACACAATAGTAGTTTACCAATATTTATCAGAAGTTCATGGTTTCTACAGTGTTAAACTAGAGTCCTACTTACTTGGCCTTGGGCCAAGGAGAGCTAAAAGCATAATTTTGTGGATGCCATGAGAATTCAATATCATGTCCACAAACCACAGTTAAAATGAGTCCTCTGGGATGGGGCACACTACATATGTGAAGAGCAAAAGACATGACCCTTCTTCAGTACTATTAGTCCAAGTCATAAAAAAAAAAACAAAAAAAAAAAAAAAACAAAAACAAAAACCAAAAATCAAAATTGGGTTCATCTGATAAAGTCACTGAGGTTTGCTATGTCACCTAAAAGCAAAGTATTTATACTGCAATTTATGTATTTCCATCACCAAAATCTGACACCATAATTCCGCTACCAGACATTTAAAAAAGGTAAAAAAATATGTACTCCAATAGCTTTCTTAACTACCTAACTACTTACTTAAACTTAAATTATTGATATGAATACTATTTCTCTAGCTCTCTCTATTTCCTGACACTTAAATTATTGATATGAATACTATTTCTCTAGCTCTCTCCCTCTACTACCTAAAATTACCTTTTCAAGTCATATTCTAATTTTAAGTAAATACTGAAAATTGCCAGGAAATTATACTGTTTTTGTAGGAAGACTGCTAATGACAAATGGCTAGTGAAGACTGTTTTAGAATTGACAGACCTCCTATTACAATTTTACAATTACAATTTACAACGTCTCGTCATCCCTAGACCTATTGATGTTTCCGGCCAAATGCAGCTTTTTTACCCGCATATTTCCCACTCAGAAATAGTTAGCCTGGAAATAAAAAAGTTGGACACTAGTGTTTAAGGAAGACAGGCATTTTATCAGTACAAGATCATGTGATCAGTAGATAAGTGTGAGATCACATGATCACTATGATAAATACGAGATCACATAATCAATATGATAAGTGTAAGACCACGTGATCAGTATAGTAAATGGGAGATCACATAGTTATTCTACCATAACCACCTATATTCACCTTTCTCACATTGAACACTGGAAGGGATAAAGCATGCAAATAAACACCTGATCTGTCACCTGACCTGTCACCTGACTAGTTACATAACCTGTCACCTAACTGGTGAAGACTACTTTACCTGGGCTGGATAATGCCCTGTTGATGAAGTCTGCCTAGATTTAGACTGTAAAACAAAACAATTATCCTATGTATATATCAAAGGAGATGTCAGAAAACGTTTGATTGCTAAGTTCTGCTAATGTAACTGACCCATAAATGCAGGCCATACTCCCTAATTACATAATGTCAACATCCTTCTCTTCATATTTGCTCTCATATTGTTAAGAGCTGTGAAAGTCAAATGTCAGCAGATACTTAATAACAAGAGGCCATAAGGGCCGATATTGCTCATCTGGATATTTAAGCATTCAAATCCACGCATTTTGTTCAAAATTACATCAATAGGTAATCAATGAAAAAAAGAGGGATTTTGAAACTTCAAATCAAATTCAGTCAAAATACTTATCCCACAGAGGAAGAGAGGTTCAAAGAGTCATTTCTTTCTCCCATATTTGACCCTAACTCTCTGCTCTTAAGGAAAACAAGCCAGAGATTTACATAAAATTGAAGTTTAATTCAATCAAGGTCATTCAAAACCAAATTTGGTCCTAATCTCTCCATTGAAACAGAAGAAAAAATAAACAAGATGCCTATGGGCCTTTAAGGTCACAAGGCGTCCCAATTGATAACTGATACCTATGACCTTGCATAGAGGTCATAGTCATTCATTTGAACAAACTTGATAGCCAGCCTTCTTCATTTCAGCATGCTACAGAACCACTATCAAGTCCCTGGACCTTTTGGTAATAAAGACAAGAGATCCCAGAGGGATCTTGGTGCCCACCATTTGAGGATCTGTTTTCAGTTCTTGAAGATTTGTTTATTTTTCAGGTGTTGTAAATGTTCATGAACTGGTCTTGAATGTACTCAATGATGGCACAAGATATTTTTATAGGGATATAGTGATAAAATGAACACCATTTATTAAGTTGTATACTTATTAAATTCAAAATGAATAATGATGGTGATGATGATGATGAAATGATGCACATGTACAAGAGTGCAACAAGTATAATAAAAGTTCAAAGTTTTCTAAAACTTTTTTTTTAAATTTTATATTTTATTTTATTACATTAATGCTTTTGTAACATCAACACTTAAATATTAGGAATTATTGTCATTTTTAAATAAATCAATTCTTCTGTTACTTCTCATGTGTCAACCCATATGCCATTAACTCAATTCATTGCATGGTTTATTATACATACCCTAAACAGTGTATTTATCAATGTTTACTTAATTTAGAAAATCTGATACTTGAGAATGACTGATCATGTAGGTAAGAAATTGCCATAAAACAATTACTCGCTGTTCAAATCCAAGATGGAGAGCTATAGGCCATTTTGTTTTTCAAATCATTCTAAATATGGGACAATGCTTAACTAGGTACCAAGAGGAAGCTAAATATGAAATTTGAGAAGGATCCTGACACAGCCATAACAAACTACTGTATTACTGTTGACATCCAAGATGGCTGCCTGTGGGCCACCTTGATTTCAAATCGGTCCAAAAAAGGTACAATGCATAACTATGGACCAAGGGAAACCAATACCTATGAAATATCAGAAGGATCCATCCAGTACTTCCTCAGAAATAGCGGTAACAAGATTTTACTCTCAAAATCCAAGATGGCTGCCTGTCAGCCATCTTGATCTTGGATCAGTCCAAAAAAGGTAAAATGCACAATTAGGGACCAAGGGGAACCTGCATATGAAATTTGAGAAAGATCCATCAAGTATTTTCCCAGAAATAGTGATAACAAACTTTTACTTTCAAAATCCAAGATGGATGTCTGTGTGCCATCTTGAATTCGAATCAGTCCAAAAAAGCTACACTGCACAACTAAGGACCAAGGGGAAGCTTCATATGAAATTTGACAAAGATCAATCCAGTACTTTCTCAGAAATAGTGGTAACAAACTTTTACTTTCAAAATAAAAGATGGTCGACAAGCACCCATCTTGAATTCGGATCATTCCAAAAAGGTATAATGCACAACTAGGGACCAAAGGAAACCTGCAAATGAAATTTGAGAAAGATCCATTCAGTACTTTCACGGATATAGCGGTAAAAAACTTTTACTTTCAAAATGAAAGATGGCCATCTTGAATTCAAATCAGTCCAAAAAAAGTACACAGGACAACTAGGGACCAAGGGGAACCTGAATATGAAATTTGAGAAAGATCCATTTAGTACTTTCCCAGAAATAGCGGTAACAAACTTTTACTTTCAAAATAAAAGATGCCCGCCTGTTGGCCATCTTGAATTCAAATCAGTCCAAAAAAGGTACAATGGACAACTAGGGACCAAGGGGAACCTGCACACAGCCATAACAAACTACTGTATTACTGTTGACATCCAAGATGGCTGCCTGTGGGCCACCTTGATTTCAAATCAGTCCAAAAATGGTACAATGCACAACTAGGGACCAAGGGGAACCTGCATATGAAATTTGAGAAAGATCAATCCAGTACTTTCCCATAAATAGCGGTAACAAGAATTGTTTACGGACGGACGGATGGACGGACCACGGACGCAGGGCGATTTGAATACCCCACCATCTGATGATGGTGGGCTGAAAGTGTTGTTTGAAGATTTAAGCATATTTAACTCCAGTGACCTTGAATGAAGGTTGAGGTAATTCTTTTGAACAAATATTTGATAGCTCTTCATCCCAGCATGCTACTGGCTCAACATGATGACCCTGGGTCATTCGTTTCTGATAAGAAGTCATTAAAAGACTAACGCATTTGACTCGTGTGACCTTGAAAGTTTGAAGAAATGTGAGACTCATTTCAGTAATCAAAGCACCTAAGATGCTTCCATTCATGAAGAGTATTTGATAATACTATATCTGGGTCTTGAGAAGATTTTTAAAAATTTCAGTCCCTGGGGGTCAGACAGATTTAAAATGGGCATACCATCAATCCGTCATCTTTCACTCATAATTCTAACCAAGTTTTAAATTTTTCCAATGGAAATTAAACAAATTATGCACAAAAGAAGTTTTCCTTTATAAACTACCCCCTCCCCATGGGGATATGTGAGACCCTGGGGTCATGAAATTCACAATTTTGGTAAAGCACTTTAAGATGCTTTCATTCATGAAGAGTATTTGATTCTATCATATCTGGGTGGGGACTGTATAATTCACAATTTTGGTTTATCTTAGACCAGGGAAGATTTCTGCAAAATTTCATTGAAATCGGAATAGGGGTTTTTAAGAAGAAGTCAAAAGTGTGAAATTGTTTACAGACACAGGATGAAGGTGATTAGAATAAGGTCACCATGAGACATGAGCCTGACTAGGCTAGCTAAGATATGTATGTAAACCTCAAACCTCCTACAGACTAGTCTAGCTAAGATATGTATGTTAACCTCAAACATCCTACAGATCAGGTTTGCTAAGACATGTATGTAAACCTTAAACGTCCTGCAGACTAGGGCTAGCTAAGATATGTATGTAAACCTCAAACATCCTACAGACTAGTCTAGCTAAGATATGTATGTAAACCTTAAACATCCTGCAGACTAGGGCTAGCTAAGATATGTATGTAAACCTTAAACGTCCTGCAGACTAGGGCTAGCTAAGATATGTATGTAAACCTTAAACGTCCTGCAGACTAGGCCTAGCTAAGATATGTATGTAAACCTCAAACATCCTACAGACTAGTCTAGCTAAGATATGTATGTAAACCTTCACCGTCCTGCAGACTAGGGCTAGCTAAGATATGTATGTAAACCTTAAACATCCTGCAGACTAGGGCTAGCTAAGATATGTATGTAAACCTTAAACATCCTACAGATCAGGTTAGCTAAGACATGTATGTAAACCTTAAATGTCCTGCAGACTAGGGCTAGCTAAGATATGTATGTAAACCTTAAACGTCGTGCAGACTAGGGCTAGCTAAGATATGTATGTAAACCTTAAACATCCTGCAGACTAGGGCTAGCTAAGATATGTATGTAAACCTTAAACATCCTGCAGACTAGGGCTAGCTAAGATATGTATGTAAACCTCAAACATCCTACAGACTAGTCTAGCTAAGATATGTATGTAAATCAGGTTAGCTAAGATATGTATGTAAACCTTAAACGTCCTACAGATCAGGTTAGCTAAGATATGTATGTAAACCTTAAACATCCTGCAGACTAGGGCTAGCTAAGATATGTATGTAAACCTTAAACATCCTGCTAAGATATGTATGTAAACCTTAAACATCCTGCAGACTAGGGCTAGCTAAGATATGTATGTAAACCTTAAACATCCTGCAGACTGGGGCTAGCTAAGATATGTATGTAAACCTTAAACATCCTACAGATCAGGTTAGCTAAGACATGTATGTAAACCTTAAACGTCCTGCAGACTAGGGCTAGCTAAGATATGTATGTAAACCTTAAACGTCCTACAGATCAGGTTAGCTAAGATATGTATGTAAACCTTAAACGTCCTACAGATCAGGTTAGCTAAGATATGTATGTAAACCTTAAATGTCCTGCAGACTAGGTATGTAAACCTAAAGCTAAGATATGTATGTAAACCTTAAAGCTAAGACATGTATGTAAACCTTAAACATCCTGCAGACTAGGGCTAGCTAAGATATGTATGTAAACCTCAAACATCCTACAGATCAGGTTAGCTAAGACATGTATGTAAACCTTAAATGTCCTCCAGATCAGGTTAGCTAAGATATTTATGTAAACCTTAAACATCCTACAGATCAGGTTAGCTAAGATATGTATGTAAACCTTAAACGTCCTACAGATCAGGTTAGCTAAGATATGTATGTAAACCTTAAACATCCTGCAGACTAGGGCTAGCTAAGATATGTATGTAAACCTCAAACATCCTACAGATCAGGTTAGCTATGACATGTATGTAAACATTAAATGTCCTGCAGACTAGGCCTAGCTAACATATGTATGTAAACCTTAAATGTCCTGCAGACTAGGGCTAGCTAAGATATGTATGTAAACCTTAAACGTCCTACAGACTAGGGCTAGCTAAGACATGTATGTAAACCTTAAACGTTCTGCAGACTAGGGCTAGCTAAGACATGTATGTAAACCTCAAACCTCCTACAGACTAGCCTAGCTAAGACATGTATGTAAACCTTAAACATCCTGCAGACTAGGGCTAGCTAAGATATGTATGTAAACCTCAAACATCCTACAGATCAGGTTAGCTAAGACATGTATGTAAACCTTAAACGTCCTGCAGACTAGGGCTAGCTAAGATATGTATGTAAACCTTAAACGTCCTACAGACTAGGGCTAGCTAAGACATGTATGTAAACCTTAAACGTTCTCCTACAGTAAACCTCAAACCTCCTACAGGTTAGCTAAGATATGTATGTAAACCTTAAACATCCTGCAGACTAGGGCTAGCTAAGATATGTATGTAAACCTCAAACATCCTACAGATCAGGTTAGCTAAGACATGTATGTAAACCTTAAACGTCCTACAGATCAGGTTAGCTAAGATATGTATGTAAACCTTAAATGACCTGCAGAGTAGGGCTAGCTAAGATATGTATGTAAATCTTAAACGTCCTGCAGATCAGGTTAGCTAAGATATGTATGTAAACCTTAAATGTCCTGCAGACTAGGGCTAGCTAAGATATGCATGTAAACCTTAAATATCCTACAGATCAGGCTAGCTAAGATATGTATGTAAACCTTAAACGACCTGCAGAGTAGGGCTAGCGAAGATATGTATGCAAACATGATGTTGCCTTCCTTGTATTCTGTATTATTTTTCAACTTATGTTAATTAAAGTCATGTATCAGTAGAATAAGGTTAAAGGTATGGAGATATACCTTTCCATCTTTAAAAGATGTCATCAAGAAAGTGGTTAATCAGGCCCTTTGCAAATTTTGATTATTTTGAGAATATGTATTGGTGAGAGTGTTAGGAATATAAAACATGTGCTTGATATAAATTATTGGGTGTGAGCTAGATTCCATCGAAAGAGGTCCTACTAAATGAAAGGCAGGATATGTCATCAAATGCAAGAGGTAATAATCCCCTCAATACCTACCCCATTTATGAATGTATCTCGTCGCACTCCTGCATAGCGTGGGCTTCTGTACAAACAAAGAAAATCTGGTCATACTCATGGATACAATATACTTTAATATTTAGAAATAATAAGCAATGTTCAAACAAGTAGATTTCATCAAAATTTCACCATAGATTCTGAGTTATTATACTAAAGTTTAAAATGGATCCAGTTGAGATCTCTGCACTAAATCAATATAGTGAAAAAATAAAGGGCAATAACTCCTCTAACAAGAGGTCCATGAGCCTTATTGGTCTTCTGACTACAAAGACATATTTCAGAAGTAATATCAATAGCATTCACCTTTCAGAAAGAGTAGTGTTTTAAACCAAAATATTGCCTATCTTCCCCTTTCGGGGCTTGGTCCTTAAGTCCTTAGGGGTCAAATCAAATTTCTTAATTTCAAATATGATTCCTCACTCTAAATAAATGATGTTCCAGACCAAACTTGGTTGAAATCCATTCCAGCATTAAAAAGGAGTAGCGTTTTGGAGCAAAACTTTTCTTTTCCCTTTTGGAGCCCCTCCCCAAAGTCCCCAGTGGTCGAATCAAATTTCTAAATAAAATAATAATGTCTACCCTAACAGATTAATCAGGCTAAAACTTGAAATCCATTAAGGCAGAAAGGAACAGTAAGGTTCTTAATCTTATTTCAGCACCTCCCCTTTTGGGGCCACATCCCTCGACCCCTAAGGGTCAAATCAAAATTCTGAATTTAAGAATTGCAAACCCTCACCCAATGATGCATCAGACTAAATTTGATTGAAATCCATATCTTTTGAAGAAAAAGTTAACTCATGGTGAACAGCAGATGGCACATGACGACAGACAATGCACAATAGCTATAGATCATATTCAGATAAAAAACATTTCTGATGGATGATCAGATATCATAGAGTAACTGGTTCTGTCAGATTGTCGGGTATCATACAATAACAGGTGCCATCAGATGATCTGGTATCATACAATAACAGGTGTCATTAGATGATCTGGTATCATACAATAACAGGTGTCATCAGATGATCTGGTATCATACAATAACAGGTGTCATCAGATGGTCAGGTTCCATACAATAACAGGTGTCATCAGATGATCTGGTATCATACAATAAAAGGTGTCATCAGATGGTCTGGTATCATACAATAACAGGTGTCATCAGATGATCTGGTATCATACATTAACAGGTGTCATCAGATGGTCAGGTATCATACAATAACAGGTGCCATCAGGTGGTCGGGTATCATACAATAACAGGTGTCATCAGATGGTCAGGTTTCATACAATAACAGGTGTCATCAGATGGTCAGGTATCATACAATAACAGATGCCATCAGATGATCTGGTATCATACAATAACAGTGGTCATCAGATGGTCAGGTATCATACAATAAAAGGTGCCATCAGATGGTTGGCTTTCATACAATAACAGGTGTCATCAGATGATCTGGTACCATACAATAACAGGTGTGATCAGATGGTCAGGTATCATACAATAACAGGTGTCATCAGATGGTCAGGTATCATACAATAACAGGTGCCATCAGATGATCTGGTATCATCAAATAACTGGTGTCATCAGATGATCAGGAATCATACAATAACAGGTATCATCAGATGGTCAGGTATCATACAATAACAGGTGTCATCAGATGGTCAGGTTTCATACAATAACAGGTGTTATCAGATGATCTGGTATCATACAATAACAGGTGTCATCAGATGGTCGTGTTCCATACAATAACAGGTGTCATCAGATTATCTGGTATCATACAATAAAAGGTGCCATCAGATGGTCGGCTTTCATACAATAACAGATGTCATCAGAAGGTCAGGTATCATAAAATAACAGGTGTCATCAGATGGTCAGGTATCATACAATAACAGGTGCCATCAGATGATCTGGTATCATAAAATAACTGGTGTCATCAGATGGTCAGGTATCATACAATAACAGGTGTCATCAGATGGTGAGGTTTCATACAATAACAGGTGTCATCAGATGGTCAGGTATACAATAAGTGGTCATCAGATGGTCAGATATCATACAATAACAGGTGTCATCAGATGGTCAGATATCATAAAATAACAGGTGTCATCAGATGGTCAGGTATCATACAATAACAGGTGTCATCAGATGGTGAGGTTTCATACAATAACAGGTGTCATCAAATGGTCAGGTATCATACAATAAGTGGTCATCAGATGGTCAGGTATCATACAATAACAGGTGTCATCAGATGGTGAGGTTTCATACAATAACAGGTGTCATCAGATGGTCAGGTATCATACAATAAGTGGTCATCAGATGGTCAGGTATCATACAATAACAGGTGTCATCAGATGGTCAGATATCATACAATAACAGGTGTCATCAGATGGTCAGATATCATAAAATAACAGGTGTCATCAGATGGTCAGCTATCATACAATAACAGGTGCCATCAGATGGTCGGCTTTCATACAATAACAGTGGTCATCAGATGGTCAGGTATCATACAATAACAGGTGTCATCAGATGATCTGGTATCATACAATAACAGGTGTCATCAGATGGTCAGGTATCATACAATAACAGGAGCCATCAGGTGGTCTGGTATCCTACAATAACAGGTGTCATCAGATGATCTGGTATCATACAATAACAGGTGTCATCAGATGGTCAGGTATCATACAATAACAGGTGCCATCAGGTGGTCGGGTATCATACAATAACAGGTGTCATCAGATGATCTGGTATCATACAATAACAGGTGTCATCAGATGGTGAGGTTTCATACAATAACAGGTGTCATCAGATGGTCAGGTATACAATAAGTGGTCATCAGATGGTCAGATATCATACAATATCAGGTGTCATCAGATGGTCAGATATCATAAAATAACAGGTGTCATCAGATGGTCAGGTATCATACAATAACAGGTGTCATCAGATGGTGAGGTTTCATACAATTACAGGTGTCATCAGATGGTCAGGTATCATACAATAAGTGGTCATCAGATGGTCAGGTATCATACAATAACAGGTGTCATCAGATGGTGAGGTTTCATACAATAACAGGTGTCATCAGATGGTCAGGTATCATACAATAAGTGGTCATCAGATGGTCAGGTATCATACAATAACAGGTGTCATCAGATGGTCAGATATCATACAATAACAGGTGTCATCAGATGGTCAGATATCATAAAATAACAGGTGTCATCAGATGGTCAGGTATCATACAATAACAGGTGCCATCAGATGGTCGGCTTTCATACAATAACAGTGGTCATCAGATGGTCAGGTATCATACAATAACAGGTGCCATCAGGTGGTCTGGTATCCTACAATAACAGGTGTCATCAGATGATCTGGTATCATACAATAACAGGTGTCATCAGATGGTCAGGTATCATACAATAAAAAGTGCCATCAGGTGGTCGGGTATCATACAATAACAGGTGTCATCAGATGGTGAGGTTTTATACAATAACAGGTGTCATCAGATGGTCAGGTATCATACAATAAGTGGTCATCAGATGGTCAGGTATCATACAATAACAGGTGTCATCAGATGGTGAGGTTTCATACAATAACAGGTGTCATCAGATGGTCAGGTATCATACAATAAGTGGTCATCAGATGGTCAGGTATCATACAATAACAGGTGTCATCAGATGGTCAGATATCATAAAATAACAGGTGTCATCAGATGGTCAGGTATCATACAATAACAGGTGTCATCAGATGGTGAGGTTTCATACAATAACAGGTGTCATCAGATGGTCAGGTATCATACAATAAGTGGTCATCAGATGGTCAGGTATCATACAATAACAGGTGTCATCAGATGGTGAGGTTTCATACAATAACAGGTGTCATCAGATGGTCAGGTATCATACAATAAGTGGTCATCAGATGGTCAGGTATCATACAATAACAGGTGTCATCAGATGGTCAGATATCATACAATAACAGGTGTCATCAGATGGTCAGATATCATAAAATAACAGGTGTCATCAGATGGTCAGCTATCATACAATAACAGGTGCCATCAGATGGTCGGCTTTCATACAATAACAGTGGTCATCAGATGGTCAGGTATCATACAATAACAGGTGTCATCAGATGATCTGGTATCATACAATAACAGGTGTCATCAGATGGTCAGGTATCATACAATAACAGGAGCCATCAGGTGGTCTGGTATCCTACAATAACAGGTGTCATCAGATGATCTGGTATCATACAATAACAGGTGTCATCAGATGGTCAGGTATCATACAATAACAGTGGTCATCAGATGGTCAGGTATCATACAATAACAGGTGCCATCAGGTGGTCTGGTATCCTACAATAACAGGTGTCATAAGATGATCTGGTATCATACAATAACAGGTGTCATCAGATGGTCAGGTATCATGCAATAACAGGTGCCATCAGGTGGTCGGGTATCATACAATAACAGGTGTCATCAGATGATCTGGTATCATACAATAACAGGTGTCATCAGATGGTCAGGTATCATACAATAAAAAGTGCCATCAGGTGGTCGGGTATCATACAATAACAGGTGTCATCAGATGGTGAGGTTTCATACAATAACAGGTGTCATCAGATGGTGAGGTATCATACAATAACAGGTGTCATCAGATGGTCAGGTATCATACAATCACAGGTGCCATCAGATGATCTGGTATCATACAATAACAGTGGTCATCAGATGGTCAGGTATCATACAATATCAGGTGTCATCAGATGGTCAGGTATCATGCAATAACAGGAGTCATCAGATGATCTGGTATCATACAATAAAAGGTGCCATCAGATGGTTAGCTTTCATACAATAACAGGTGTGATCAGATGATCTGGTACCATACAATAACAGGTGTGATCAGATGGTCAGGTATCATACAATAACAGGTGTCATCATATGGTCAGGTATCATACAATAACAGGTGTCATCAGATGATCTGGTAACATACAATAACAGGTGCCATCAGATGGTCAGGTATCATACAATAACAGTGGTCATCAGATGGTCAGGTATCATACAATAACAGGTGTCATCAGATGATCTGGTATCATACAATAACAGTGTTCATCAGATGGTCTGGTTTCATACAATAACAGGTGTCATCAGATGATCTGGTATCATACAATAACAGGTGTCATCAGATGGTCAGGTTTCATACAATAACAGGTGTCATCATATGGTCAGGTTTCATACAATAACAGGTGTCATCAGATGGTCAGGTATCAAACATTAACAGGTGTCATCAGATTTTTTTCATTGCTATTAACTTTTTATAGTTTTTACTTACATCTAATCATGGATTATAATCTAGAGTTTCAAGGAAAAGAAAACATCCTTTTACAATAAGGATAGCCATTCATTAGCTTTATTGATATTGCTTTTAATGAAAGCATGCAAAGAATAACTTACCTGCTGTCCATTCTGCGGTCCTTGTACATACCTGTAACAGCATTATATATATTGTTTAAACTATTACCTGTAATTCTATGACTTGCCAATCACATTTTGTTATATGGAAATTTCAAAGGGTCATCGGACTATAAAGATCTATTAACGAAAGAGGCAAAATAGGCCTTAAATAAATTGCTCAACTACACTACAGCTAACATAGAAGACATTGTTGGTTCATAAAGACATTTTCTGCAAACTTGAAATCCTATTCTTTATACATGCAGTACACAAATGTCAATACTTCAGACATACTGCTTGTTGAAAAAAGTATGCTACAAGCCCAATATCGAGATCCTTGGCCTTTTGGTTATTGAGGAGAAATCATTAAAATTTTCATACTGACCCCTGTGACTTTGAGCACAGCAGACGGCTCAGAATGACAGACAAAAGGAGATGGCAACAGGTTATCCTGACCCTTCAGGTCAGATGACCTAACAAAAAAGACCCTATGACCTTGAACATGGGTCAAAGTGTGGAGCTTCAGCCAACAAACGAACCTTCCCGCCAAAAATATCATGAATCTAGGCCTTTTGGTAACTGATAAGGAGTTTCGAAGAAAAAGTTGCATTTGAACAGACTACATATATTGCACCAGGGCATAAACTCACTGGACCTTTACAGCCAGGCAAGCTAATAATGACGCAATGATACACAAAATAGAGTTGATTATGAAAACAGTTTCGAAAGGTTCATTAATGAAGTTGGATGTGAGAAACAATTTCTAAACATTTGACAGACTTTTAATAGAAAAGCTGAAGACATATGTGATGTTGTAGTTAACATACCATTGTCTCTGTCCATGTCACTCCTGAAGCGCTTTCTCCGAGGGCTATCTAACATGTCATCACGAAAACGTCGTCTTCTGAAATTTAGTGGTGTTTTGAAGGAAAAGTTACAATCATATACTGTAAAACATTCATGAATAACATGTATAACCAATGATGTACTGTAATATTAGAATAAAGAGTGTGTTCTGAATGTCAAGTTTATACAGTGTTTCAGATTAATAATAGAGACAAGACTGATACTAAACATGCAAGTTGTAGTTTATATTTCCTAACTTGTAAAGACAATTCTTTCCTGTTCTGTCCATTTGAAAATTTGATATGTCTTCACATTTCAAGGACATATGTACACATATTTTTAAGTTTACTTAGTAAGACAATCTAAGGATGACCTTACATATTTTCAAACAGTAATTTTTAACTGTCTACACCAGAGGTTGGGAACACCAAACCATCAGGCAAGTTTACGGAGTTTTCTACTTTTAAAGAGGTTCTGTCGATCTCTGAATTTATCATTAAATTTCCTATATCAAATAGAACAGACAAAACTGACAAAAATGATTAAACTGGTTAAACTTAATATGCTATAAGAATTTGAATTTTAAAAAAAAAAACAAGAGGCCCAATAGACCTGCAAAGCTCCCCTGGTATTCAATGCTTTTCACAAGTATATTTACATTTCTCATTCATTCCCAGAAACTACAGGCCACATAGCATGACTATTGAGAAAAAGTTGTTTAAAAGTTTAAACAAATTTGACCTCTATGACCTGATAAATGGGTCAAAGTCATTTCATTTTTACAATTTTGTCTGGCTTTATCAAAGGAATTTAACAGCCAGACATCAGCAATTTACATCATTTGGATAATGAGAAGTTGTTAAAAGTTTTTAACAAATTTAATATTTGAGAACTTGAATATAGATCAATGTCATTTATTTTTGCAAACTTTGTCAAAATTAATTCAAGAACCTAAATTTAATGATTCTAAGCATTTTGATTGAATGTCTGCCACACTTTGACCTTGAATGTAGGTTAAGGTAATTTCTTTTCACAAACTATGTTGGGCTTCATGCCACAGACCTTCCAGCAAAAAAATCTGTATTCTAGGTCTTTAGGTTATCAATGATAAATTGTGTAACAGGAAAGTTCATGCCAGAGAGACCGACAATGCTGCACATTTGGACAAGGTGAGTTAATATACTCCTGGCTGGTATGTGATCCTCTATCACAACTAATCATCAATAGACTTTCACTAATCAAAATCAACTTGACCTCAAACGTTTTGTTAAGTAGGCTATTCTGATAGTTATTCATCAATTAAAATGTGATACTGCAATTTATCAAGAAAGCACAACAGATGTTAATCAGAACAGTTTTGATTTCTAATATTTAAGAGGGAATATGTAATGACAAAATGAAAAGTAAGTACAGAGGAGAATTCAGATCAGACAAGGCTTATACTTTATACTTCTACAATGTAACCATTCTACCTTACAGGACAGCACTGTGACTCCACATTTCAACATATTTCAATCTTCAAAATTCTACTGAAATTATACAATGTTATCATTCAATCATCATGAAGAAATTATTTAAGATAATATAATTTCACTCTTTGACTGCCATAGGGACAATAACACCATAATATACACAGTCCGTTATACTGTGTAATAACATCATCCTATTCTCAGCTGTTATAGAATGTAATAACACCATCCTATACTCAGCTGTTACACTGTCTAATAACACCATCCTATACTCAGCTGTTATACAGTGCAATATCACCATCCTATACTCAGCTGTTATAGAATGTAATAACACCATCCTATACTCAGCTGTTATACTGTGTAATAACACCATCATATACTCAGCTGTTATACAGTGTAATAACATCATCCTATACTAAGCTGTTATACAGTGTAACAACACCATCATATACTCAGCTCACATACTGTGTAATAACACCATCCTTTACTCAGCTGTTATACAGTGTAATAACACTATCCTATACTCAGCTGTTATACAGTGTAATAACACCATCCTTTACTCAGCTGTTATACTGTATAATAACACCATCATATACTCAGCTTACATACTGTGTAATAACACCATCATATACTCAGCTCACATACTGTGTAATAACACCATCCTTTACTCAGCTGTTACACAGTGTAATAACATGATCCTATACTCAGCTGTTATACAGTGCAATAACACGATCCTATACTCAGCTGTTATACAATGTAATAACACCATCCTATACTCAGCTGTTATACTGTGTAATAACACCAGTGTAATAACATCATCCTATACTAAGCTGTTATACAGTGTAACAACACCATCATATACTCAGCTGTTATACTGTGTAATAACACCATCCTTTACTCAGCTGTTATACAGTGTAATAACACCATCCTTTACTCAGCTGTTATACAGTGTAATAACACCATCCTATACTCACCTGTTATACAGTGTAATAACACCATCCTATACTCAGCTGTTATACAATGTAATAACACGATCCTATACTCAGCTGTTATACTGTGTAACAACATCATATACTCAGTCTGTTATACTGTGTAATAACACCATCATATACTCAGTCTGTTATACTGTGTAATAACACCATCCTATACTCAACTGTTATACAGTGTAATAACACCATCCTATACTCAGTTGTTATACAGTGTAATAACACCATCCTATACTCACCTGTTATACAGTGTAATAACACCATCCTATACTCAGCTGTTATACAATGTAATAACACGATCCTATACTCAGCTGTTATACTGTGTAACAACATCATATACTCAGTCTGTTATACTGTGTAATAACACCATCATATACTCAGTCTGTTATACTGTGTAATAACACCATCATATACTCAGTCTGTTATACAGTGTAACCACATCATATACTCCATCTGTTATACAGTCTAACAACAATCCAGGAACCTATTAGCAAAATATCACAACTCTAGGCCTCCTGGTAAAGCAGTTTCAACAAATCTGACCCAAGACCTTGCAAATTTGTCTGGGTTGTCTCTTTTTGCAAACTTTGTTGAGCTTCATATCAGGAACTTATAATTCTAAGACATTTGTTTAATATTCATAAGGACTTTATATAAAATATGTGACCTTGAATATGGGTCAAGGAAAATCTTCTTTTTTTTTTGCAACATCAGCTGGGCAATCTTGCATGAGCCTACCAGCTTATATATCACACTTCTTAGCCTTTTGGTTTAACAAACGTTTTTGTAATGTTTCAACATATTGAAGCCAATGTTCTTGCAGTAAATGGAAGCCAATGTTTTCTATGATGTAGATCGAAGGTCAAAATATAGGTCACAGTGACCTATAAATTTGGTGCATGATGCATTGTTCCACTTAAGTAAACCAATGCCCTTTGTATGAAGTTCTAGTGATGAGTAGTGAAGGAAATGGAGGTAAGACAATCTACATATGCTTTTTGATAGAAGTTAAAAGGTCAAAATATAGGTCACAGTGGCTTCAGTTGGCATATTGCACAATGCTTCATCTAGGTCGACCGTTGCTCAAAGTATGAAGTTCCAGAACTGTAGGTACAGCCTGGACATTATTAAGCATGGAAGGAAAAGAACAACGAAGAAAATACTGACATGTCAGCAGAATCCAAATTCCATGAAACTAGGGCAAAATCATTATGAACAAAGGAAATGTTTACACAGAGACTCTTGAGTACAAGGAGAATAAGACCAGGAGTCTGAGAAGGTTTAGTATGTTCTGTTTCATCCCTAACACTTGCTATGTAAATCTAAGTCAGTCCAAGTAATGTCATGTTCCCAAATGAGAACAAGTTAAACCAGAGTAGCAGTAAAACTGATGAATGTTTCCCCATTAATGATTTTATTGGCAAATAATTCTAACAGTGATTAAGAGTTTGCAGGCCTTGGATTTTGTATACTGCACATTTTCTTAATATGACCATTGTATACACCAAGTTCCATGATCCTTTTTTTAATGCAACCAAAGCTATGTTCATGACACAACGTTTTAGAAAAGGGCAAAAACTCTGTACTGAGGCTAATGGGCTCAGACTTTGCCACACAACACCATGCTTTTGCATCACATTACAATATCCTAGTTGAAAGGCAGTCAAATGATGATCTGACACAAAATTTCAAGAAAAAAGCAATATCTCTATATATAATAGGGTTGTGGGCTGCAACAGTGTTACAGTGCATATTGTCTTTGTATGATCAACGTATACACCAAGTTTCATAATCCTAACTTAAATGCAAGAGATGTAATACTCTGGATAAGTTTTTTTTAAAAAGGGCAATAACTTTGAAACTGAGGGGTCAAGGACCCTGAGTTTGGTATGCTTTTTATGATCAATGTATCCAAAAACATCCTTTGTCCTAGTTTAAAAATGCAAGCAATTTAAAATTATGTTTTAAGGCACAACATTTTCACAAAGGGCAATAACTTTGTAATTAAAGGGTTGTGGGTCCTGAATTTCATATACTGCACTTCGTCTTCAAATCATAAATGCATTGGCCAAATTTTGTTATCCTAGTTTAAATGTAAGCAAAATTATATTCTAGATATAAAAGGACAGATGCAAAGATGGACGGACAAGGCAGTGACTATATGCTCTCCGGAAAATTTCGGGGAACATAATAATAGCAGAACTATCAGAAACTCTCACAATCACCAAACATGTCCAACATAGAATTGCACAAGGAAATAGAACACTTCTCAATGAGATCATTATGATGCCTGTAAAACTTCCTCAATCTTAATCAACCTACATCTCTCACAATTGTGCGCTGTGAGTTTGTAAGTTGTGGGCTCTTACACAAAAACTGTGAAATTGGCAACATGCCCTTGCATATCAAATCGTCTGGTACATGTAAACACTATATTTTGGGGATGCATGGTTGCGATCCTGAAATGGAAACTTCACAATAGGGAAATTAAAATCATCATGCTTATAAAACAGCTTGAAGGAAAGCTGTCCCTGTTGACAGGAAAAGGTTGAGGTAAGTGGTTGACGTACACTCTATCATAACTTGATTATGGTGGGTATGTA